AACATATAACATATAACATATAACATATAACATATAACATATAACATATAACATAGAGTATTTCAAGTGCGTCTGTATTATATGCCCTTAATGTTTTTTTTTACATATTTTTAAACACATATTGTATGTAATTTTTTGTGTTTTCCCCACACGCAACTGCGCCTGTGTTTATGCTTTGTAATATTTTGTTTTTGCCATTTGGCGCTTAACAAAATTGCATTTAGCTTAAACACTGTAATTTGAGCTGCTTAAGCGCACTTAATTTGCTTAAACCACTTTAATTAAACGCAATTATGCTAAATGTAATTTTCGTTAATTATATTAAATGGCTGTGGAGTCCAGCGACCCTCTACACATTTCATTAAATGGGTTACTTTTCGCTGAAGGTTTTTAAATTTAAGAAGAGTTATGCCAAAATTAAAGAGCAAAAATATGTGAAAGTCGTAATTTGAAAGTTTCAATTCATGAGTAGGGAAACCTTTAATTTCATATTTGCCTGGGTCAGCTATTCATATTCATACTCATTCATAACATGCATATGTCATGCAACTATAATCTATCTTCTCTTTCTGTCATTTTTCATTAAAGCACCTGCTTCGGCCAGCTCATCGCGCTTCACTCAACCGCCCCAGAGCCAGGCCATCGTTGAGAACGACGCCGCTGACTTTAGCTGCGAGGCCACCGGGCCCTCTGGCGACTTGCACTATGAGTGGCTGCATAATGGTGAGTATTCATTATGCCACAGTTAGTTCGACATCGTGACTAAGGCTTCACACACTCCTTCCGCCCTTCAATGCCATTGCAGGTCAGCAAATCAGATACGACAGCCGCGTTCTGCAAATTGGCTCCAATTTGCGTATCGAGTCGGTGCAGCGCGATGATGCCGGCGACTACGTGTGCATCGCAGCCAGTGCGGCCAGTGGAGCCAGGCAGGCATCGCCGCCAGCTAAATTGAGCGTGATATGTGAGTACCCGAACCAAAGCCTAAACTAAAGTGCTGACCATGATTATGATAAAGTAAAAATATATAGATGAGTTTAACTGAACTCTTCACTTAACAAATGTTACGTCGGCAAGCTGTCTGTATAGATATTGTCTATATTACATTTACTAGAACCAGTTCTAGTTCTGTTCTAGTTCTGAGCTCTACCATTTAAAGAAGAAATATATTTTCTAAATATTTTCTAAAGCAAGATTTTAACAATCTAAATATTCCCATCCATCTTATACACTCTCATGCATATTTTCTCGTATTTTTTATTTAAAATCAATTTCGCTTTTATTCGTCTTTTATTATGTATATATGATATATATGGCAACAGCTTTATGTGAAAAATGTTTAATAGTAGAGATGAACAAAGCATTTTATGCAAAGTTTTTTTCTCAAAATAATTTTAAAATGCAAAACTTGCATATATATATTTTTTATTTTAAAAATAAATATTTAAATATAATAATAACTTATTTGAATTGTCTACGATCTGTCGTTAGCGTAAATAACATATGATCAGTATTAAATTTATGATTAGGCCCGTCTAGCATTAGCTGACTTCCCTTTTCCGGCTAGTGCTTAGCCTGATCGGAGGTGCAATCAGGCAAAGGTGCAGACGCATAAAAACCCACAAGTAACAAAAGCAACAACAACAACAATAACAACAACCGCAGAAGCAGCAACATTGATGAAAGATAAAAAGCAAAACTTTTGATGTACATACGTCACGCACAACAACCGCCTACCTCATGCCCCGCCTCCTGCTTTGCCTGTGTACAGGAAGTGCAGTGCAATGCATTTACCAGCCAGCGTTGCGTGGCCAAAACGAAGACACACAGCAAAAGAAATACGAAAGACGGAGATAGAGAGAGAGAGAGAGAGAAGAAGAATGAAGAAGATCCATGCAGCCAAGTGGCAAGTGCAATTGCAGTTGCAGTTGCAGTTGGAGTTGGAGTTGATGTTCCTGTTCTTGTGCCCCTCGTCAGAGTCGGCGTCATGTGATTGATGTTCATTTAGTTGCCTTGCCTTTAAGCAGAAAAATGCATAAATTTAACAAACAGTCGCTGCCCCTTGGCCCGCCCCGCTCTGCCCGCTGTGTGCGCAAGTAAACAAAGCGTGTGGAAGTTTTATGCACAATCTGTGCTGCATGTGTTGCATGTGTTGCTACTGCTGCTGCTGCTGCTTGTTGCTGCTGTTGCTGCTTGCTGTCAGCACCGCCTGCTAACTGATCAAAGAGGCTGCAGCATAACTCCA